CCCCACTGGGGCTTGATCCCCGATTTCAAAGCAAGCAAAGAAGACGACGAAGAGAAGGACAGCGTCCTCCTTGACACGCTGGCGTCCGTCATTGCTATGCAAAACGCCCTCACGCCACATCCGACTGCCATGATCGACGTCGACTGGTCCTCTCTTGACTCCCTGCTTATGTTCATCGTTCACAACCATCTCTTCGATTCCCTCTGCGGCTGGCTCGCGACCCATTCCTCTGTGCCCAAGGATTTCCATCATAATTTATTCCGCCTCTGCGCGGACTATACGGAGATCACTCTGACGCTGGCAGACCTGCGCAGTCTGCCTGAGGTCGAACATCCCCGACTCTTGGACCTTTGTCGCGATTTCTTGTATACTGAGGGCCGGCAGGTGATGATTGGTCGGGAACGGTATTTATTAGAGATGGTCGGGTATACCGCTTGGAAAGATGGTTAGATTATCGACATGTTTTACATTGCATTGCATGCATTTTGCATTTGCGTTGATTTTATATTGTGATGCCGTGACGAGTGCGTGTTTTGTTGTATATATGCATGAGACAGCGTCATTTTTGCTTTGGCATACAGCAAGAAGAGAAGACCAGAGATGAGTTGAGAAGATGATCGTGCCGGAACACGAGTCATGATGACGGTTAGATATAAATGACAGTACTAATGTTTTCTTCCATAATTATCTTGCAGTAGACAGAGTAATGGTTTAAATATGTTCATATGATTCTATTATTGTCATTATGTCAATCGGTTTTCTAGTTTAGTTACTAATCTGCTACTAAAAATGATATAACAATACTTGGCTAACATGCGATGCTGTAACCATTCTGAACGCTCGCTGCTTTTCATCAAATAAAATCTCGCCCGCTAAATGCAAATTACCGGTTCCCCTCCAACTGCAAGCAAGGTTGTGCGCTGCAAAACACAAAATGCGATCGTGAATCCACCCCCCACCTCCTCTCAGTCCCACTCCTAGAAGCTAAAAAGCCCACTTCTCCGCTTTCCAAACGGATAAACCACCAACGCAGCCACAAACAACCCAACCGTAATGCCAATGGCGACTTGAATCATACCAAACCCCAGAATGTTTGTTGACATATCGCTAGACGACGAGCTAGATGTAGTCGAACTCCCCGTTGCGTTTTTCGTAACATTCGACCGGATCTCATCTGCCGTGTCGACGCCTGCAATCAGGTTCCCTGTTGCCGCTAGACCGGAGGGCACGAGGACGAAGATCGCCGGTAGGATAGCTGCAGCGGCGTGTCCGTGCCAGAGTCGGCTGTAGAGGTTACCCATCACTCCCACGGTGAAGGCGCCGACTGTGTTGGCTACTTGGGAGTTATTTCCTAGCCGCGAGCTGACGAAGTAGTTGGTTACGTAGCCGGCGACGGAAATGGCGATCATGATGGGGGATTGTTTCCATTTTCCTTGGTTGACGATTAGGAGGCAGAGGGAGAAGGCAGCGACGAAGGGGAATCGTTGTGCGTAGGCGTTGCCGAAGCCTCCGGTTGTCGGGCAGGTTAGGTTTGAGGTGGCGTTTTTGTCGATTAGGCCGTAGATGGTGGTGCCGACGGTGACGCCGTAGCCGAGGAAGAGGGAGTAGATGATGGCGTAGACCATGCGGATGGAGCCGGCGACAATTTGTTGGGATTGGAGCTCTAGGCTGCTGCAGAGGACTGTGTAGCCGGGGAGGATGAGTGCGATGGAGGATTGGGCGATTGCGGAGAAGCAGAATATGTAGTCGTTGGATCCGTTGGTGAAGGAGGAAGATTTGATACTGCCGAAGGCGCGGGCGAGGAAGGAGGTGAGGACAGCGGCGGTTACTTCGAAGACGTTGGAATATAGGACTGATCGTGGGGCGAGGATGTGCTGCATGCAGCCTAGGAGACAGCCGTTGAAGAAGATTATTGGCATGTCGATTGGTCGTGCGTCGAATGCGAATGGGCCGACCATGGCAGTGGCTAGGCCGTAGATTAGGACGATGAAGTATCGGTTGAATCGGGGCTTCTTTGCCATTAGTTCTTCTAGTTCGTTTCCCGCTTCTTCGATCCCTATCATGTCGTGGATGACGTTCTTGTATACGTTGTGGGTATCTGCTAGTCGTCCTAGGTCAACGCCTTGCACGACTCGGACCAGTTTGACTTCTGTGGTTCGAGTGCTGGAGTCATCGAATGACATGATCATGCATCCCGGGACGTAGAGGAACTGGCTGTCAACGTCTAGTACTTTGGCCGTCATGCGCATGTATTCCTCGAGGCGATGGGTTGGAGCTCCGAATCTCATTAACGCCTTGCACAGTTGCATGATGTATCTCTGTCGGGCAATGATCTCGGCAATCTGAAGGGTTACTTGTATCTCCTCTTCTAGTCTCATGCTGTGCCTTCGACTCTTGTCTCGTCGTCTAGATGCAGCGCTTAGAAGCTCGCCGGTAACAGGTGTACTTGCACCGCTAGCGCTGCCGCCTCCGACTAAGGTTGATGTTGATACGTTGCCAGGCTTCTTGTACCATCGGACTTTTTCCTTTCGTGGAGTCGTGGTGCCCGGTGTGCTTCCACCAAAGGGGTAGAACGTGTCACTGGCGAGGTGGAGCCCGCGCGCTCCTTTGTGAAATTGGTCCCAACCGCCGCTAAGTCTGAGCAGCTGAGATAGGACGCCTCCCGATCCCGAGCTGCGGCGAGGTATCGCTTCGTTTCCAGAGTCCTCATCATGGGCAGAAACTCCAGCGGCACGATGCAAAGCCGACTCCCTACGGGCACTCGGACGACGGCCGGAAGCTTCATGTGCCAGGTCCCGGACTATTCGATGCGCCTCGGTGCTACAGGTTTGGTTTTGATCTTCTTCTCTGAGATGCAGGTCAGTTTCGGCGTCGCGACGTCGCTGGTCGATGGGCTGTAGGTCATCTTCGTTAATATCGTCTGGACGACCGAGACGAGCAGCAAGGCTCGCTGCTTTTTCCTTGATCGAGTCTCTGAACGCTTTCAGACGTTCGCGTCTGGGTCTTTTTTCACTCGTCGTCGTCTGTTGCTGCTTCTTCTCATTCTCTTCCTCCCGGCCATTTGTACTGGTAAACTGTGGGCCTCTGTGGGATACATCGGTTATGTCGACTGATGCTTGAGTAGATGAACGGCGTCGAAGGTGAGATGTACCGGGTGAGAGAACGCGTTCGTCTGCATCCCAGATCCCATATTCGAACCTGCGATCCGCCCCGAAATGAACGCGATGAGTACGGTGACCACTGGGTGAGGAATCACTTTCGGGGGTGAGATCATGTCTTTTCTCAACGTCGAAGTCTGCATTCGGTCTCTCGACGCTGTGATAACTGATCAAGGAGCTGGAGCTTGATTCGTTGCTGCGCCTTCCTTCGGACATTATTCCCGCTGCCTGGTGTGATGCAGGTTCAGAGGGAGATTTGTCGAAGTATGAGTGATGAAAATCGGATAGTGGTGTCCTGTTGGCCTATCAAAGGCATCTAACACCACAGTGTAACAGTATGTACGGAACGTCTCCTACCACTGTGTGCGATTCACCATCCAGCGAGAAAGGCGAATTTCCCTTCAAGCCGAGTGGGAAAGGTCGCTCAGGACACCCCCATTGAATATACCAGCCCCGCTTGGCGAGATTTCCTGTGCAGAAGGAAGAGACCGGTTAACAACAGTATTGTTCAGTGTGATCTGCTAACAATAGTAGCAAGATCCAACGAGTGAATAAGCCCGCCACGGGGGCAAAGATCTCTTCTCTCCATCGGCCAGACGTCATGGAGGGCTAGATTGTGAGTAGGCCTGTTGGCGTGGCCGGCGAGGCATATGTAACCTTATCTGGCCGAGAACAGAGTCGATGACGCATCTGGTTCCAACGGTTCGGTCTAGGCTTTTGCAGCCAGCGTCTCTTCACAATGTTCCTCTTCATGTCTATGATCCACGGTCAGTGGTTAACAAGCAATCACGGACAGTCTCCACAGACCGTGCATGTCAGGAACAATTAATGGTTCAACTAATGGCCAGGCACACATATAGTCCGTTTAGGATCGGCTGATTGAGATAGCCTGGACTGATCCGGGACCTGTACATCCGATGAGTCTTTACCGAGACAATCGGAACTTTGCCGTAAGCTGATGATCGAATGACGAAAAACATTAGGTCCAATGAAATCATAAAGTGGTGGGTTACAGGAGGAATTGAGTTGGTTCACATGCAAGCTGCCTTTTAAATCAGGTGACCAGCCGTGCTCCCTTTCACGTCACGTGGTCTCCTATATACTAACCAGCCTTGCTAATGAATATAAAGTTATTGTCCACATCAACCGAGTAGGTATCACTACTATATCAATGGTGTGCTAAAGCTCCAGAGCTTGAGCATATACTATGTTGAGTCTCCTAGAGCAAAGTTGAAAGGCAATTGGACACCTTCACGGATGGCAAGAATAGTTAGGTAACATGAAATGGCTATATGACCACGTCCTGTACTATAAGATGTGATTCCTCTACCATCTAGAAGACCTTTGTTCTTCGGCATCATGTAGACAGAGTGTTACAGATGACCAAAGAGCAGGCCCTTTGGTATCACAGACTGTATCAGAGCAGCACAGGGGAACGCCACATTGCAAAGTTGATGTCAGTTCGGGTTTACATACAGGCTCCCCGACTGCAGTTACAGCCATTTTAACACTCAGGGTTCATCTTGACTGCGCTATACTTTGATCGGATCAAATGTCCGACATCAAGTATGCGAGAGGCTGGACTCTCTAAGAGTACCACGCAAAGGTCCAGGCCTTGTGCACACATCAATATGCTGCATCACAAGCCACTGAATGATAATCAGAGGTCGTGCCAGTTTCAATAATAACTATGCACATCTCACCGTCACGTCATTGTGGCTTGTCCTTTCCTACGTCTAATCCTTAAGGGATAGGTTTATATTTTAGCACAAGTGCGACCTGACAACACAGATATTCTCGTCTCGCTCCCTCGTATCAGTCTTTATCAACGTTATAGTCATCATGTTCGGAATCATCAACTTGCCTAGTCGCTCAACCGGCACTGTGTCCAGTGCTTCGAGTTCCAAGAAGCGTTACGCGCCTATCGTTAACGAGCTTCTCCATTTACTCGACAAATCGTTTCCTTATGCTTCTGGAATGGAGGCCCTCGAGCAAGCCATCCAATCTGCGCTTCAGTACAGGATCGTTGAGATGGAAAGCTACGGGCTCACCTCTGCTAAAGGATTTCTAAACTTTGCAACCTGGATGGTCGATGGTTGGATACCTACCGAGTCAGCAAAGGGTAGAGACATCTATTATATCTTGTGTATCTTCTATTTCGTGTTCGACCAAGTCCCGCTCAAGGATTGTCAAACTGCGATTAGGCCCGAATCTGTGGGGCAGGAACTGTCCCAGCTCTCCCAATGGATGGTGAAGTTTGCCAAGGAAGTTGGAAGCCACATGGACCGACCAGAGTCGCTGAACGAAGCATCACTCACTTCATTCTGGAATGCTCCAAGCTTCCATGTATTCGAGGCGGATGAATCCAAAACCGAAGGGGGGGAATGGACTAATTTCAATCAGTTCTTCTGTCGTCATCTCAAGGACGGCGCACGGCCCATTGATGGCGAAGGTGACGACAACATTGTCATTTTCCCTGCAGATTCAACCTTCTCCGGTTACTGGGATATCACTGACGAGTCGATGGTCGAGCTGAAAGGTCTACCATGGCATATAGGTGATCTCCTTGGGCCATACAAGTCCGACTACGGCGAGTCTTTCAAGGGCGGGATCTGGTTGCATTCTTTTCTGAACTCATTTGACTATCATCGCCAGCATGCGCCGGTGGGAGGTACTATCAAAGTCATCGACACGATTGATGGCGCGGCCTATTTAGATGTTGAATATCAGCCTGATAGTCGGTCTTTGATGCCAAAACGCCCTATGCGTCCTATATACTCCTCAGGGCCTGTTTATCGGGGAGCGGAGGCGACGGATAAAGAAGGATACCAGTTCCTGCAAGCACGAGGGGTCATCATCATAGAGAACGACAGGATAGGCACGGTTGCTGTTTTACCGATCGGTATGGCACAAGTCTCATCTGTGGTGGTCAGGGACGACCTCAAGCCAGGTGCCACCATCAACAAAGGTGATGAAATCTCACATTTTGAGTTTGGTGGCTCTGATATTGTTGTGATGTTTCAGGGCGGAAAGATAGATCCTCATACTCTCCCACAGCCATTGTCACGCAAAAGCGAAGAGCCCTTGTACGAGCATCATAACTATGGAGAGATGCTCGCTAAGTCCAAGTCAAAGTCCAAGACCTAACTTATTGCGGCAAGTCGGCACGATGGTGGGAAATTCTTCATCGTCTCGCAGAGTTGAGGAAAATCGTTTATTAGTTACTGAAGGCAAGAGGCAATTTGCAATGATTTGTAATTTGTTTGAAATGAAAACTTGAATCCTCGAATGTAGTACGTTCTAGCTGTCAAGAATTCCAAATGCAGGATCATGATACTTCTATGGTGTGGAACAGAAAGAGTCATCAGAATGAATGTAAGAAATAGCATGCTATGAAACCGTTGAAAGGCCTGAGGTGTCAATATAGGCTAGGCGGACGGACCAATCCCGAAATAGCCTAGCGCACAGTTGCCAGTGGCTGACATCAGCCATGCACTCGTACATCTCTTGCCTCCATCTGGGAAGTTCCTAACGCTCTGCTTGGCTTACTTTCTCAATCCTAGTGTTGCTCTCAGTAGTTAGTCCCACTGTGGGGGCTGTTTATAATGCCACCTCAAACGCGAGCAATCCAACATAGCGAAAGTGTGGGGAAGAAAAAACGAAAACCTGTGCGCCGTGACCCGGAGAAGAGGCGGCAACAGAACATTCAAGCCCAACGCAGATACCGTAAGTGCGGGTCTCATCTGGAGTCACCACATCGGAGATTAGCTCGCAAAAATACTAATTACGTCCCCGTTTAGGAGAAAAGCTACGTGAGCGCTTAGGTCGTCTCGAAGCGCTGGCAGAGTCTGCGGGACAGTCCTCGGCCATTGAAAGCACCCCGGCTTCGGGCATACAACCAAGTGGGGCGATCACAGCGCCTGGCCTACCCATCGCTTCAAGTACTATCGTTCCAAAGACCCTTCCACTCTATGATGCTTCGGATGTATCGGTTCCGTGTACATCTGTGGCGACCCTTAGTAATTGCCAGCAACTTATCCCAATCTCAGATGGGAGTCCACCGACATTATACACATCAGACTCTACCACAACACCCTATCTATATTCTGATGAATCTCCCTCAACAATAAGTGCCTGGGATCCTCCATCATGTGTGGATCCTTCTCTTCTCATTCGCGATAAGCCCAGTGATAGCCTGGAGCTGTACTGGACAACCACCATTGACTGCGGCTGTACCAGTCCGCATTTCCGAATACAGACAGACGGTCCAGACCTTCTCGGCCGTAATGAAGTCAGGGTATTCAGGTTCGGCGCCAATACAACTACAGCCGATCCATATATCAATAGTCTCCGGATTGATAGAGTTTGCACCATCGCCGCAATTCTTGATCTTGTTAGGCATTTAGGCATTACGGAGGAAGGGTTATGTGCTGACCAATCTCCCTCGCCATTCTTTCGGCCCGGCGCAGTGATGGTAGACGATACAGCCAGGACCAATTTGATTCGCACTGTTCAGGAAACATTCAAGACTTTAAAGCCAGATCTGAGGCCATCTCAAGAACAAATCACTATCGAGCACCATCCGATCATAGACATTCTACCTTTCCGAACACTACGGAGAAACCTCATCACTCGCCAGCACGATATAGATGAGGATGAGTTCTTCGACGATATGCTTTCTGGCTTAGTATGCTGGGGAGGTGCTGGCATTGGGAAGAGGGATCGGCAAGTCTCCACTGGGTATGCATCGACAGGTACGCCGTGGGATGTCCGTAGTTGGGAGGGAAAGTTGTGGTTTCTGAAGAAGTATTGGGCGCTTTTGGGTGGTGAAGATGGTGAGCTCGTACGACAAAGTGAATGGTGGCGCAGTATCAGGGGAGACGAAAGTGAGCAGGAGACCATGTGGCTTGGATAGAAACTAGCTGTGTGACATTTAAATGTTGGCGTGTCATAGACGATACATGCCTCAGATTCCATCAGGTAAATATTGTACAATGCTATCGGCATCTCCTTTAACTAAACTACTTAGCCTTGTAGTTTATCTCGAACCATCCAATGGTCAGGAAGCGTATCATATATGCCGCTGCTACTCGTTGGAAGATCCGACTACTAAATTTTAATATGATATAAGATCTTGCTCCATGCTGTCAGACGAAGGTAGACAAGGAGAACATTTCACGTCACGAAAGTGACCAAGTTTGCAGGGGGATCACTATCTAGTTTTCTGAAAGAGCCATACTCAGGTAACTGTCTAGTAGAAAGCAAAGTCAAGGCAGTCTCATCCTTATCACTCTAGCCAGTCCTTCTTACCTGAGGGGCTCCAGTCTCTTTCATTCACTTCTCCCACACTTTGGAAACACAGCAAGGCAGGGTAGTGAATGACGGCATGCCAGTGTTTGACTTGGGGCTCAGAGTTATTTCCTTGAAGGAATATAATGACTTCTTGTTCCTCTCACTTGAGCTGAGAAGGCGCTAGCTCTAGTTTCAAGCTATAGAGTTAGAGATCAGACCGGCTATTGCAACTCCTCTTCCGTGTTTAAGTGGCTACGGATTCTGCTGCTACCTCCGTCTATCAACTATCTGGCTCACTACTCTCTTCTTTTGCAGGCCAGTCAATGAACCTGCATTACTTCTATCATATTACAAAATGTCTAAGAGAAGAATGGATATAATCAACAAAGGCAGAGAGTCGCTGTCTCAGCATCTCCCTTCCCGCTTCTCATCTATCTTCGACCCAGATCAGACCATGCTAGATATAAGTGAGGACTTCCTCTGTAAGTGCAACACGCAATTTCATATTCTTCGCAGACCAAGTCTCCTCAATTATAAATGAGGAGTCTTTATCTAGGTAGGAAGAGCTAGGCTTGAGCTAATAACTGTACTAGCGAACGACGTGCAGTATGCTCCAGCCGGCACTATCTGCGAGACTCTTAATCTTTATCAGACGAGTTCTAGTCATAACGGCATTATTTCATGGTCTAGAGATCCTGCTGCCGGTTTGTGGGGACAAGATAAGGCACCTGACTCCGGCCAGTACGCGCTTCTTGCTCGGAATATCAAAGGCTCTAAGGGACAAAGAGAGTACGAACTCGACTCGATAGTTGTGCAGAGTGATCACATCAAACGATTTTTGGCCAGGGTCATGGATGGCTACCCTGGCATTACTATGTCACGCAAGCGCGTACAGTTCAGCAAGCCCTTCGAACCGTTTGTCCATCGCTGGGAAATGCTTTCCGAAGCTAAAGACAACGAGTCCAATGCACAAGCTAAGGCCCATGTGGATCTACTTTATGGGATCCTGGCAGCCGAGCTCAACGATGTCATCACGAACAAGCAAAACCTTGTCCTCGATGGTGTGATCACTTTTGATATGCTCTGGACGATCTTCGAGCCAGGTCAGATAACTCTCAGTACCGTGGACGATTGCAATCGTGCCTTTTGGCTTGAGAATAGTTGGATCGGCCAGGGCTTCGAAATTGATACTGTTTATATTGACTATGATGGCTACGAATTCGGGTACAGGAAGCACCGCCTCTCTATTCCAACCTTTGAAGGCACCAAGCCTATTATGTCCTTGCCAGTGATTCCTTTTGTGTTTCATAAAGACAAGGACACGCTGCGCAAAAGCCTGACCCTTCGTGGAAAACTGTGGTATCAGCACAAAGGCCATCACCACAAGCAATACGAAGGCTTGGCCTTGACATCGTATGGTGGTCAAGAGATCAGGTACAAAATAAACAGCCGAGTCATCATTGACACGGAGGCATATCTCGAGTTCCACTCCAATGGACCTCAAATAAGCTTGCAATACATATCCGACCCACCAGCCGATGAAGACTTTCTGATCGCAACTCCAATTCTACGTGGATACTCTCTCAAAGACAGAAAATGGCTGGAGTTTTTGATTGACGGTGTGTCAGACATTGTCTGGAAATCGCGACCGTTTAAATCTCTGATATTGCCTGAGGGCGAGGCCAAAGATCTTAAAGACCTAGTTCTTGCGTTCGCGACTTCCCAGTCAAAGAAATCCGATATCTCTGATAATTTGCTAAAAGGCAGAGGCCGCAATGTCATTGTGCTCCTCCATGGTCCCCCTGGGGTTGGCAAGACTCTGACGGCCGAATGTGTCGCCGAAGTTATGCAAGTGCCGCTTTATGTCCAGAACGCGGGAGCGCTAGGAACGACTGCCACAAAAATTGAGGAGAGCCTGAGCTTTGTCCTTCGTAAAGTTCCTAAATGGAGCGCTGTACTTTTTCTGGAGGAGGCCGATATTTTCACACAGGAACACAACCGCAGCGATCCCCAGGAAAGGGCGCTCTACCATGCATTCCTACCACTACTGGAATACTTTGAGGTAAGTGCATAAGGCAGTCTTCAAGAAAAGTTCTAACATGACTTTCATCAGGGAATTCTATTCCTGGCTAGTAATCGTGTCGAGACCATAGACCCTACCTTGGAATCCCGTATCGATGTCGCCATCCACTATCCCGAACTTGACTCGGAGTCCCGCCGCCATATCTGGACCCGTTTACTCGGAAAGTCGGATAGAAAAGCATTCTCCGAGAGTGAGATTTCCAACCTGGAGGACTGCGATCTAAATGGAAGAGAAATCAGGAACGTTCTAAACTCTGCAAGAGTTCTCGCCCGCTATCGGGATACTAAGCTGAGCTATAAACATGTCCTAACTGCCCTGCAGCTTATGTACCCGACCCGTGAGTAGGGTGATTATTGAATCATGAGAAGCTCTCTATCAGCTCCTGCTTGACCTCCTTCTTTGTTTCTGCTCAATATGCATGTTAGTAGGAAGCTCAAGGAATATGCTATTTGGGGAATGCTCACAATTGCATCATGTCTTACTACTATTATTCCCACTCATTATCAATGGCATTGAAACCATTCAAGTTAAGTGTGAAAGTTGGGTAGTGCTGGTTGCCTCTTTCTTCCCATACACGCCTTTTACTATATGTAATTATATAGAAGTGGCTAGGTACCTCCAATAACCAAGAGTTCCTCCCTCTTCTAGACATTGAAACAGTAATAATACCGTCTATTGACGCCATATACTGCTAAGTACTACCAACTATTTTTCATGCCTACTTAGTATTAGTATAAGTTAATGATCGCCAACAAATTAGGTCATCAAGAGTCGGACTACCTCATTGTCCCAACTACTCTCCATGAGTTCGTGAATGTCAAAAATCCGCAGCTCTCTACTCCGTACAGCGTTACATTTTCCCCTTGGTTCCTGAGGCCCTGAAAGCTGACCTGAATGGGGAAGCCAGTGGGGCCGTCGCGGGGTGGGGCCGCCTGACTAAGGCATTCGGGGACAGATCCTCCCCCGACAGCTCCGGAGTAAGCAGCATTTCCTGACGCGCGAGTTGCCAATCCATCAATTTGGGAGTTACTATCGCATACCCCGAATATGGACAGTATATTAGAACTTTCAATATGAATACAAAGATACTGGCAAACTTTCCACCTAGAAAGGTAACCACCTATGTCACAAATGGGTCACAGTGTGGATATCCATGGACCTCGATGGCAGGTCACATGATTGGACGGGGAAGGCCAGACCGCCTGGGATTCGCCGCTCGGTATTTTATTCCTGCAAAAAAAACTTTCCTGATTTTGCCCAGGCCAGGCTAATCTCTTCTGCACTCTCCGATCTCTCCTCTGGCCCCTGGAGTCTTCCGTTACTCAAGTGCCGCTGAGCAGATTGGAAGATATCTTATTGTTTCATTAACCTCCGGCAAGATGCAGCCTGTTGCTCACCAGTCGGGAGGCGCGTCTGGAGATCCGCTCCCGCCGTCACTGCCGACGGAGGCAATCGAAGAGAAGGCCAGCGTGTCTAGCTTGGGATCATGGAACCATTTGATTGCTGGCGCGTGAGTTGATTCGATGGTATGGTTGAGAAGCTTGATACTGATGATTTGAAATAGTACCGGTGGAATGGTCACTGCTATTGTTACGAGTCCTCTTGACGTTCTCCGCACGCGGTAGGATAAGCCTTCATCCCCAACGCAAGAAACAACGGAGCTTTGCATACTAACATATCTTGTGCTTTTAGTTTACAAACCGACTATTACCAGACGTCAGGCGCGAACCGCTCGATTCCCACACACGCGCACGTTCGTCAGTCGTTCGTTAAGACTTCTATCCGCCATTTCCGGGAGACATTCGGCATTCTTTTCTCAATCCATCGTGTTGAAGGCTGGCGGGGTATGTTCAAGGGACTTGGACCCAGCTTGACGGGTGTTGTTCCGGCCAGTGCGGTGAAGTTCTACACATATGGCAACTGCAAACGTCTGCTGCCAGAAATCTTGGGGTGCGACAAGGATACCACGCTTGTGCATGCCATGTCTGCAGCATGCGCTGGAATCGCTACTGGATCGGCCACCAACCCCATTTGGGTGGTAAAAACTCGTCTTCAGTTGGATAAGGCCGGTGCTCGCCGGTACAAGAACAGTCTGGATTGCACCAAGCAGATTCTGCAACATGAAGGACCTAAGGGTCTCTACCGAGGTCTGACGGCCAGCTACCTGGGCACAATCGAAACCACACTGCATCTGGCCATGTACGAGCGAATTAAGGGACTCATCTCTAAGGAGGTCAATCTGGATAAGAACTCGGATTCGAACAAGTTTGTGCAGGGCCTTGCTCTGAGTGGAGCGTCGGGATTGTCGAAGCTGTTTGCTTGTTTGATCGCGTATCCTCATGAGGTGAGTTGACGCGTCGAAAACCTTCCGACATGAGCATATTCTGACATTTGCAGGTTATCCGTACTCGACTTCGACAGGCTCCGATGGCGGACGGTCGCCAGAAGTATACGAGCATCCTCCAGTGCGCGCGGTTGATCTTGAAGGAAGAGGGAGTGATCGCGCTGTATGGAGGATTGACGGCACACCTGCTCCGCACGGTGCCGTCGGCCGCGATCACCATCGGGACCTACGAGCTGGTTCTCAAGGTCCTTGAGGGACGTTAAAAGGATGTGACGGGCGGCGGCAAGACCCCGCGACTTCCCTTCTCATGTATTATAGACTGTACGATAAAAGTGGCACATAGATACCCTGTAATAATGATGTGAACAGCAGCGACTGCAATAGGGTCTCGTTTGGCGACATGGAGTTTGCATCTCGATCAGGGAGCTTTGCATCATCTGGAACTTGCTTTTCCGGTGACTTTATCTTAGCGCAGCAGTTGATCTATCCCAATATTATGATATTCATTCTTACTTTGTCTTACGTTGGAAGTTATTCCTATGCCTAGTCATCATAAAGTGTTTTGTACATATGTATAGTTGGTAGCCTTCGATCGGCACTGGACGGAACGTCATGGATGGTGCTTGAAACAAGTCAAACAACCAGGCAGAAATTCGGTGGACTTATCAGGAGATGGAGAGAGAGTTCCGCAACAGTTAGTTTGGTAGACAGACGAACTAAGTTTTAGTTTATGGTTCAGCGGCGTCCTCCGAGTGGAGATGTAGAAGCGCGCACTGATGACTGAAGATTGAGTCTTTGACCCAAGCAAGTGGGCGCGGGTCATCTCCGACCGGCTTTTTGCTTTCGCTAACAATAGATATTATTACGTGCAGACCACAACTAATCCTACACTATCCTTACACTATACTAAACTAGAGCCGATATCGTGCGTGGCAGATTAAGGCTTCCGTGTTCTGCCGTTAGCACGCTTCACTAGCATCAAACTAGCACATGGAGGAGAATACATCCGACGCAAGTTGCAGACACTCAATCTGCGGGCACAGCGATCGAGCCAGTGACAAGCGAAGTTCTAGAGTGGCCGTGGCTGTTTAGTGCAGCAGCCATTTCCAGGGAACAGGGAATACGGGATGGCCATTGGTCTCACCTCCTGGCCGGGCGGTGGATCCCCTTTTCCTTTCCTTCTGCGGGATTTCCTTTGCGCGGACTCCAGCGCAGTCTATAGCACTGCTCAGCTCATCGATCATCATTATTTGCTGCAGGTAAGCAGACAAAGAAAAAGGTTAAACTCATACTTTTTGAATGATGGATGGAAAAGGATAATCTGAGGATATTTTGGGATGACAGCAAGCTTACCAGACTGTCAATCAGGTTCCCGCCAGCCGATCTTACTCCTTTGCGTTGCCCATTCTCATTTCCATGCCTTGCAGAGACCCAGTGGCACACAATCCAATCTTGCCATCCCGATGATCGGCGACCCACGACCTTCCCCCCATGTGGGGGGGTGTAGCCGGAGTGAGGAGATGCAACAAGAGGTCCGTGGAAGACCGCCCTGCAACCCCAGCACTCGAACACAGGAAAATGGCCAGCAGTTCCAGGAATGTCCTGACGGCAACCCGGAGGACGTCTCCCTTTCTTCTTCCTGACACTCCTTGCAACAGGATTGTCTGTGTCACGGACCTTGACAGCCAAACTGATCCGAACTGAAGAAGTCGAGGATCGAGAAGGTTTGCTCCGTTGCTTGGCAAACTCAATCCGATCCCTATAACTGCTGCTTTCTTCCCCCGTGACTGGCCTCGACTTCAGTCTCTTTTGATCCTTTGGCCTCCTTTGATAACCCCGTTGTGTCTCGTATCCAGCTTGACCTCACTTTTCCTCGTCTGCGCGCCCCTATCTCGAGACAATGGCCGCAAAGGCATCTCCTACGGCCGTCTCGGCCAACTCTGGCGCAGAGGAAGTTGGACTGTCGGATCCCGGAGATTCGCAACTACTAGGTGAGTTTGCGACCGGTTGCTCATGGACGAGGGTAAGGGACGCCCATGCTAACTGATACCAGCCAAAATGGGCTATAAACAGGAACTCCGTCGCCAGTATTCCACCGTGCAAATATTCGCCGTCGCGTTCAGTATTATGGGACTAGTACCATCCATCGCATCTACACTTTCGTTTTCCTTACCCGCCGGGCCTGCAGGGATGATCTGGGTGGGTATCTGCATTTGGGGTTACAGCTCGCGTGACACGAGCTAATATCATGCAGGGCTGGTTTACCGCAAGTATCTTGATCTTCTTCGTTGGATTGGCTCTGGTATGTGGTTCTTCGCCCCTAATCCATGCCAAGCCATGCTAAGATAACGATATAGGCCGATATGGCATCGGGTATGCCCACAGCTGGTGGTCTATACTGGTGGACGCACTACTTTGCTGGAAAGAAATATAAAAATGTGTTGAGCTTTCTGGTTGGCTACAGCAACACACTGGGCCTGATCGGCGGAATCTGCTCTGTGGATTGTGAGCTCTCACTGACCCCTAAGATGGAATAGCTGCTAATTGCCAGACACTCTCGCGCTCATGATCCTCGCCTGCGTCTCCATAACCCGTGATGGCAGTTATTCCGCCTCCAATGGCACCATCTACGGCGTCTATGTCGGTCTCATCCTAGTCCACGCCGTCGTCAGCGTCTACTCCGGGCCGATCATGCCGCGCATCCAGACATTCTGCATCTTCATCAACATTGCCATCATCATCGCTACAGTCATCGCTCTGCCCGTCGGCAAAGTGACTCGCGGGGAGTCTCTCAACGCAGGCACTTGGGTCTTTGGGCACGTGGACAACGAGAGTACATGGCCAACAGGGTGGAACTTCATCCTCGCCTTCCTCGCGCCAATCTGGTCGATCGGATTCTTCGACTCTTGCGTGCACATGAGCGAGGAAGCCCTCCACGCCGCCAAAGCCGTTCCCCTCGGAATCATCTGGTCCTCCGGATGCGCATGCGTATTTGGATTCCTAGTCATCAGCATTATAGCCTCGGTAATGAACCCGGACGTCAACGCCACAATCAACTCCGTATTCGGCCAGCCCATGGCCCAAATCTACTACGACGCACTCGGCAAAAAGGGCGCGCTTGGATTCATGGCCGTGCTAATCGTAATCCAATTCCTAATCGGCCTGAGCCTGGTATGCCCGCCCTTCCCCTATTCCCACACCCAACATCTACAATTTGACCCAACTCTCAATACTAACCCAGCAAATAACAGATCACCGCTGCCTCTCGCCAAGCCTGGGCCTTTTCCCGCGATGGTGCTCTCCCCTTCTCGAACTACTTCCGCCACGTCAGTCGTCGCATCCGGTACCAGCCCGTGCGCGCAATCTGCGGCCTCGTTGCCGTCAGCATCGTTTTCGGGCTGCTCTGTCTCATCAACTCCGTCGCAGCGAACGCACTCTTCTCGCTCTTCGTGGCCAGTAACTACGTTGCGTGGGCGACGCCTATCCTCTGCCGCTTAATCTGGGGCAACGAGCGCTTCACGCCGGGGGAGTTCTATACGGGATTCATGAGTCGCCCGATTGCGATTATTGCGGTGCTGTGGTTGGCTTTTGGGTTGATGTTGTCGATGTTTCCCACGACGGGGCCGAATCCGAGTCGTATGTTAATCCCTTTTTTCAGACCCATAGGAAGTCATTTCATGGGGAATGGTGCTAACTTGATATGTTGTAGCATCCGACATGAACTACACTATCGTTATTAACGGGTTCGTGTGGGTCGCTTGCATGACGTACTACTTCCTGTTCGCGCGCAAGTGGTACACAGGGCCGAAGATGACAGTGGACGGGGTAGAAGAGGAGAAGCCAGAGTCGGAGACAGCAGAGAAGAGAGATGAGGCGCATACTAGTGCTTCCTACTAATTATACCGTTTACATATATATACCAATACTAATAGACAAGAATGAAACAACTTGATATGTTATAATCCAAATCAAAAAACATCATATACATTGGTATCAATCATCAACCATCCATCATCAAACCCCCTTCATCTCAACTCCACCCTTACAAAGCAGCCATAACCCCCAAAACACCCGCAACACCCACAACCCCCATCCCCAACCCAACTCCCGGCGTCGCCATAGCCACACCCGCCCCCTCACTCGTCGAACTCGTCGCACTAGCACTCGATCCACTAGCAGTAGTACTAGCCGCACTCCCCGTCGCACTCGCCGTACTAGCCGTCAACGTCGTCTTCCCACTCATCGTCTCCGTACTCGTCGGCTGCCCATTCGACCCCGTCAACGTCGTCGCGCTCTCCCACCGAGAAGTGATCTCCGACGCTACATCCGACGCCTTGGATCTGATATCCGATGCCGCCGCGGACGCATCGGACCGCGCGTCCGACGCCACCGACGTGCCCCAGGATTCGGCGTTCGAGGCTACTTCCCCGCCCGCGGAGGTTAGGGAGGAGTATGCGGCTGCGCCGCCGGTCGCGACGTCCGAGGCGATGGAGGTCGCGTCGTTGGCGATGTTCGTGGCCAAGGATTCGCCCCCGGATACGGCGGTTTGGGCGATTCCGATGGCGTCGCTGACCACGTCTGGGGCGGGGGTGGAGAGGGTGGGGGTTGCCAGGAGGGCGGTGGTGAGGAGGAGGGAGGTGAGAGTGTATTTCATTTTGGTGGTTGTTTTTCTATTGTGATGGTTTGGTTTGGTTTGATTTGGTTGTGGTGTAGTAGATTAGGTTTGGTAGTAGTGGTAGATATTATGTAGATAAAACCCCGATGTATGGAGAAAGTAGTAGATATGATTGATAAGTAGGAAAATGTATAAGGAAGATAGAGCAGGAAAAGCAAAGTATTTATAACCCCCCTACCCTACCCTACCCTCCCAGAGGCTCAAATAAGGATCACCAGGGCAATAGAGTAATACACACGATTCCACTGTTCTCAACGGATAAGAATAGCACCCTACCAGTACTCCGTATGGGACAGTGCCTAGCCTAGCCACCGTGGCAATGAAAATCCACCAAGGCACCGACGAATAAAATCTCGTCTCAAATTGCAAAAGTGGATGGATGGGGGTCGAGCCATCATCGGTAATTCGACGGACCACGGCATCGTGGCTCCACTATGAGGACATAGGATTCATTTCTTGGGGGGAACGGGGGTCCACGCAATGCGATTCCATCAGGGCCTTGGTCAGGTTTGAACCTGGAGAGTTAGACTAGAATACTACTACTATTCCGTTAATGAGACCAGACCAGAATGGGGCAGTGGGAATGGTGTTGCCTGTGATGATGACGTTTGCTTTTTGGTTGATTGTTTGCTTGCTTGTTAGTTCTGCATGTTATTCGTGGGCTTGGCTTATTTGCTTATGATGTGGTTGAGGATTTTTTTTGCATGTATCTTGTTCTTGTTAGTAAACTTGTTGTTAGTAACTTGTGGCTGTGGCGTGGCGCGGCTTGGCTGTTTTCACTGCGACTTGTTCACCACACTCAACAGTGTACTGCAATAAGTACACTGCAGATAGTGGTAGGGAATGGTACTGCCACCACCGAAATAGAACTTATCCGTGAACTCCGAATCTTGGAAACATCCTGGTTCGTCCGTTGGGTTGGGAAACTGGCTCTCATCCCGATTCGCTCTCTTTTTTGCGGGTTGTGGCTTTGACCGACTTGCCACCACATGACTTTGACTGGAATTTGGGTTCTGCCTGCTCTGCTCTACTCACGATGGAGTGTATCTCAATGGATTATTCTTTTGGTTTGGCTCACAGGCAGCAGCACTATACTATTAAATTCTAATCCAAATGCCTGTCTTGAGCTTGTGACTGTCTTGAAATGTTGTACTACACTGATCGGATATATCGGCCCGGATTGAACGGGAGAAGGATCGTCGGAGTTGTTGTGTCTTGGCTTCGGTAGTTCTGACGAAGAGCGTTTCATGTGCGTAATTGTCTCTTGGTATTACTAGGGGTTTTGTGAACGCGGATTCGGTCATCGACCTTTCGAGAAAGCGCAGTGTAATGGACTAGACTATAGAGGGAAAAGTTGGGATGTATGGATTCCGGGGGATCCGGGGATTTGGTGGGATTGTTCGCTTATGGAGCAATTGTGCTATTAATGTAATTAGATAGTTGGATTGAAAAGACACCCGTAGTGTGACTGACTGATTGTTTGCTCGCTGGCTGGCTGTTGAGGTTTCATCTTGCAGAGAATACGTTGCCTTGAAGCCACTTGGGGTCCCGCTGGTGATCTAGATTCAGTCCTGTCATCTGATGAGACCCTTAATGCCTCAGTCAGGGAATGTTGGTGCCTCGGGTGCCTGGCGGTCCCGTGGCCCCCCTGACCCTGTAATCTCATCGAAGTTCAGCATAACTTTATGTTGATCGCACGATGTTGATATTTCTTTTGATGTCTATTTATTAGCCAAAGTCACTATCCCGAATGATGCGAAGTAGTACTCTCGAAAAGTTTGTAGTTTTTGAATGTGTAGCCTGTTCAGACCGCTGCTTAGCACGTAGCCATACCCACTCAGGTAGTAACCGTGCTTGCAGTCGGGATTGAAATAGAATGCACACAAGTGGTCTTGATCAATCAGTTATCAATTGATATATTATTTCAAAAGCATGCGCACATTATCCCGGGCCCCTCTTAACCAAGGGTGCCTCCGCTTTACCGCTCTACACTAGGACTAGTACTACCTGGTCATCAACATATATATATATATATATATTACTGCTAGCGCAACTACTGTTGAACATGATTAGTATGGAGACACGTACAATTTGGGGATAGTTCCTGCCTTTCACTTAATTTATGGCCTCGAAAGATGCATCGTGAGTTTCTTTAGCTACTAATTATTTGGCGACGAATAACCACCACGAGCGCGAGTTCCATATGGGTGTTGGATCATTACATCGGTCATTACTGGGTTACGTAGCCATTGTTCTCGACCAAATGTTGACAAGCTCGGCGCTAAGATAAGATCCCTACAGGGTGGACACACTATCGAATTCCTCCTCCGCCGTCGCAGGTTATGTCAAGGTTGTTTTAGCGTCATTGCAATACATGAGGGAGTAGTATCTTTGAGATAAAGGCTAATGTTCCTATTCGGAAGTAACTATGATCGGCGTAAAAGGTGCCTTGAGATTTTAGAGGCACTGCCGAGGTATGCTCATTCGCAGAGGATTGAACATCAGAAATTACTTGATCACATAGTTTTCAGCGAAAAAAATAAATGGATTCGCTATATAGCACTATATTAAATGAATAACAACTCAAATTCGACAGCAGAACTCAAAATATCCAACTAAGCATCTTGTCAAGCAGTATCCAGCGCACTCATCCGTACTGCCTTAGTTGGAAGTGTAAGAGCAAACGTTGGGGTTCTTGCTGTACTCAACGCGGGCAGCAATACCCTCACAACCCTCGTTGTAGCCGGGCTTCTCAACACCAGCGTCAGCCCAGATGCTCCAGGCACCCTGGATGCTGTTGGGGCAGGCAATCAGGTCCTTTCCACCGAACTGCAGGTGGTTATTCTGGTCGATGGACCAGCCCTGGCGTTCACCGTTCCTGGGGGCGGGCTGAGCACCGGTGGTGTATCCGATCACGCCTTGGCCTGTAGCAAATCAGTCCATATTAGCTATAAAGTACTTTTGATCACAAGATAGGAAAGAGGATAAACATACCCATGCCAGAGCGGTCAACGTAGAGCTCCTGGGGAGTCGCAGACTGGTCGTACAGGTAGAGAGCACCGTCGTTGAGGACGAAGGTGGCGGTCTGGTCCTGGGGGTTGGAGCAGCTGGCGTTCTGGCTCTTCAGGCCGGCGAAGATGCTGCCGAGAGCGGCGTTGAAGGGAGCATACTGGACACCGCTGCCGGAGTGGATGGAGATGACGCCGAAGGGCTGGTTGGTGGCAGCGTCGGTGGCCGGGAGAGCGGCAGCAGTAGCGGCGGCGAAGATCAGGTTCTTGAGCTGCATCTTGAAGGATGGTTTGGTTTAGATTTGAGAAGAGTGGGTTTGTTGTTTGGTTGGATGTGAAGGATATGAGAGTTGTTGTGATGATGAAGGTATGATTATCGAGGACATCAAGCGACCTTTTATACCTTTCATCTCGCTCGGCCAGCACCATAATTAGTAACGGCCGCTTTACAGCTGCCAATATACAATGTCTCAACCCACAGGCAGTCCCTACTTACCCAGCACAGCAGGTATGCTGTCATCGCCCCCAGAAAGGGCGATTGGTCCGATGGAAGCTACTACTGGAATATGATTGCCTTGGTCTAAAATTCAGGGTCCCCCCTCGATGGCAATAAAGTGACCTAAATTTAACACGGCGGGGTTTGAAAGGCCTGTTTATTGGATGTGGCTGGAGGCCATGTGGGTGCCCCTGGCGAGACATCGGAGAAATGGCAACGGTGATTGCATGAATTCCAGTAAGTGGATTCGCTTCTTATGGGTGAGGGAAATCGATCGGCGCATATGAGACCCACATTGGTACAGACATGTCTCATTCTGGGGGAGGCGGACGGGCCGAGGTGACACCATGAGTTTGTCATTGATTGAGAGGAGTGTCTTACGGGGATGTGGGATGACTGTATGAGGGGTTGATAGTGAGACATACATATATGCTGCAGCCGTGATGGGCGATATAGATAGTCCATTGCGTGAGAGATTATGGGACTGGTAAGAGGGGACGAGGGGGTCGATAGGATAGACCCTTGCGGATTGGTGCGGTGCGATTTCCACAAAGCCTCATCTTGGATTGGCAAACCTCGGGAACAACGGCAAGCGGAACCGTTGTCTTAGTTGACTATTTATCCGTTAATTCAACCGGCGAGGCTGTGATTGAGGTTGTGATGAGTGGCTCTCCCCCTTTCCGATGGCCTTTCGCCGTTGAAGAAATTGTGGGACAATTCCCCACTGATGAGATGGGATCGACAAAGACATAGTTCGATAGACTCGTTCCTTGTTTTGGGCGAATAAGATCTACTAGCCATGGAAAGTACCTGGTTGATACTACCATTCGGACCTTCGGGGTATCGAGGCCACAGATGAGACTGAAAGGGAGGTATCACCCACTCCATCCTGGTTTCTGTGCCCTCAGCTATCCGAGAAAGTTTTGGAGTCGCACATCGTGGGTGGACTGTCTCTCACAGTGAAGAGTCTCTGCATTCTGGTTGATTGTCGGTGGTCAATTGGTGGATCACGCAGTTTACATCATAGTCACTACCGGTTCAAGCGTGCAGGTGTAGCATGCACCGTGACTTCAATAGAAGCTAATAGTCCGAAGAAGTCTCTTGGCATGGATAAGGCTGTTTAGGATGGTGCAGTAGCCGAATGTTGCTCTAAGTGGCATTCTCTCAGTCTTTAATATCTACCTGAGACATTGGAGTCATTCGTACTATTTCCTTAGTGCCAATGGGCAGAGAATGTATGGGAAAGACAGGGGATCACAGCTAGAAGGCATCTAGTTTAGAAGCCTGGGCTGATAATCGACTGAGACAGAGATAGTTCTAGACTTCTTGAATTCCTGAAGTTGAAGGAAAGATGTGGGCAGATCACGCAACGAGAGCCTTCCTTCTGTATGGTAATCTAACATTTGGTGCTGCCACGGCATAGTAACATCTTACATGATTCATTACGTTATGAAGAAAATATTTCCCTTCCCATAGTGGTTTGGTGCTGATTATGCCTACGTAGTCCTAGACCCAACGTTTTCTGTAACAGCAAATTTCCTCAGTTCGGTACCCGATCCCTCCGCCTCTGCAAAGCACTCTTCAGTATATGTTCGATAAGCTCATTATACGAGACATTGTTGTGTTCCGCGATCATGGGCAATTG